TAAACATTGGATTAGATCACCAGCAACAAGTAACAGTACTGTATTTCACTGTTCATTAAGATTATAAAAATTAGACTTCACAAAGGATTTGTGAATATACATATTGCCAAGGAAGTGTTTTTTATCACTTTGCATTATCTATTTCCCTGACATTTCTTGAAGACCAAAAAGCTTAAATGATGACTGTGATACTAAATCCGCTGATAGAACAGTCAAACTTGGATGAAAGTCACACACTCTTCAGGGCCACTCTCAAGCCAATGGCAATGGAAAGGAGAACTTGGTGTCAATCCTCTCAGCGTGTGAAATTCACAACTTATAATCCTAACAGTCTTTACATACACTCTGACACTTGCTAAAGCTAGACTCAGTTCTTGGTTTGCTACCTTTAAGTCAATGTTTATTCAATAGCCAAGAAAGCTAAACTACCTGCCTTGATTACACAAGAATTCAGATGCCAGCACTTTGCCACTGCTTTGTTATTTTTCTGATACTGCTATCTTACAGAGTTCTGTGCCTAGGGAAAAATTTAAATGATGCCATTCATCAGTAAATGGAGCACTACATCCCAAAATCTAATCTCTAATTGCACACCTGACATATAGCAAAGTTGCTTTACTGTAGTTTAAAGGCCAGTGTGTAGATAACCTTAGTCAAAGAACTGCAAGTTAATCACACAGTTGGGCAACTGACATCATCCATAAATTCTTCTGATATAATGGCACCAGCATACTAATTTATGTATGAAGTGATGTCCATTTGCTTATCATGGATTGGAAACTGTTTCACATGAAAAAAATTCTAATGCATCATACAGACTTATAGCCTATGCTAATTGCTTTGGGCATATTTCCCCTTATAACCATTTTGCCAGCTTTTAGAAATGTTAAATGCAGCTTTAAGAATGCTTCAAAACAAGGTATTTTCCCTTAAAATTAAATACACTAACTTCACTGAGAAGTAATGGAATTTATTTTAATGTATGCATTTATATATGCAATTACCCAACTAATCCATAATCAGGTAGAATACAGTAAGCATTGGTGTTTATTGAAATACAAATGGACGCTATAGATGAAGACTTATTACTAAAATCTAAAGTAGCAAAATTTTGTAAAATAAATACTTAAGAATATGTTTCCTATTTGGTTTAGAACTTCCTATATCATACAGGAAAACCAGAATTCAGCACTAACGAACCCATTTGACCATTACACTGAAGCTAACCTACACAAATGTCAAGAAAAATCTGAGTATGTCTAATATATACAGAGTTCAGGCTTCAAATTTGTTCTTTTGCCATCTGTCAAGGGATTCTTCGAATCACTTCTCAACTTAACTTCTGCGGACTCTACTGGGGATACCAGCAGCCATCACACCTATTGGATCTGTAGCAATGGGAAGTCATGGGAATGCTGGAGGAAAACCCACCCACTCTTGAGCCAGTCTGGGAGCTAAAGCTGACAGTTATCTTCAGTTCATACAAAAAGAGTGCTGTAAGTTAGGATAAGCAGTCTGTTAAGTGAGTGCAAACTCACACATAATATGACTATTATTATGTAATTATATTTTAGGTCAATTTCTGTTAAATCAATTTCTGTTAAACTTAATTACATCCCTCTATGGCTTTAAACTGGGGCAGCTTCTATTAAGTTTACTTTCTCCTGGGATTTTCACAGTAAAGACAAATGATAAAGGTCTGGCTACTAAATGAAGGCAGCTATTAAATAAGGACGGCTTGTATTAAAGCTGAATGGTAAAGATGTGGCTACTGGTTGAGAAAACCCCTTAGTAAGGGAAGTGTCTTGTATTAAAAAAAAAAGAAGAGGGCAAAGGAGGAGAGGGAAGGAAACAAACTTGGTTCAATAACTTATATAATACTGTTATAAGACATTAACAGAATGGACATCCAAAGTTTCATGGCAACTTCCTCTGAAGTTTCTCTTAGAAACAAGTGAGCGGTAATTTGATACAGTCTCCTCCTTAATTAAAGACAAGAAAATTAAGCACAACTCCTGGCTCTGGAGACCAAGAGGTAAAAAAGTATCTCAGAAAGACTTGTAATGTGATTTCAAGTAGTTGTTGATAAATAAAAATTCTGACAGCATTATTCTAGAAGATAAGACTGAGAACCATATATTGTAGTTCAGTTTAGAATTATGCCATAATTCCAGAAAAAAAATAGTTTAAACAAACTTTTGAAATTATAAACTTCTAGTGTGTGTTTTGTGATTGTTTTGGGTTGGGTAGGTTGGTTTGGTTTTGGTGGGGTTTTTTAATGGTTTGGGGGCTTTTGGGGGGGGGGGGGGGGGGCACAGGGTTATGCCACTCTGGAGTTCTTAAAAATAAGTCTGTTCTACTGTGGTTCTGTTGCTATTTGTGGAGAAACTTGGTTCTTTACTAGCACTGACACTGCTGTAATGTATATATTCTGATGGATACAGAAATAAGACAAACAAGAAAAAAAATGCATTACTTCATGTACCATGTTTGTGTTGTTTTGTGGTGGTCTAGAGATGTGAACACTCAAAGCCAGCCTAATCTGAGTGCACAAGCATATTAGTGGCTCTGTCTGCCGACATGTAAATTTCCATAATGCTAGTGCTGGAATAAACCCCAGCCATTTCTTAAATGCACTCCTCCAACTTCAGAGAGTTCCTGGTGTTTTTTACAATGAACAACTGCAATAATTTTATATATACAAAAAAGTTTATGAACAATGAAGTTACATTCTTCCACATTTGATGTGATGGTTGATGAAAATATGCACCTCCACCTTGTTCAGTATTCCTCACAAGAAACACAGTGGACCACCTTGGGGCCAATGTAGTTGGCAGCAACTTTGCCCAATGACAGGAAAAAATCTGTTTGGCTGAGGGCCTATGCCTGATCTTCACTAAACATCTGTTAGATTTCATAAGAACAATGTTGAAGATAACATACATATTAGTTTTCAAATGTACCCCAGTAAAAAGATTACTGCAGTGATTCTTGATTGCACTTGAGAACTGATGTATTTTTAAAAATGATACAATCCATTTGAACCAATTCGCTCAAAAATACATTTTTAACTTTTTTTTTAATCTGAAAGATGGATTTTCTAACCTGATAGACATATATTTCTGTGAACTCCAGAAGGCAGAACTCAAATTAGCAGAATATCACTGTATCAGATGCCAGGTAAGAGCTCACACATACCAACTGTGACACATTTTGATGTACTTGAAGTCATATTGCTCACCTTACTTGTTAAAGAAAAACAGCAAAAAAGTATTTCTTGATTAAAATACCTACCCAATGCATAGGCTTTATGGTTTTTTTATGACCTGGATCAAATACTAGTGAATTTGATGAACATGTCAAAGTACTGCAAGACAAATATTTTTGTAGTCCTCCAAAGTTAGATGTACCCAGCAGAGATCTATTGTGGGTGTGGGGAAATAAAATACAAAGCTCCCATCAAT